ATGAATATACAAATAAATGAGTACATATAAAAAGCAAGGCGCAAGCAATACTACTGCTATGAAGCCTAACCAAATAAAAAATTGAACAATGATTTATGAAAAATGTAGAATGAGCTATATGTGATGAAATATAATATATGCCTGTTTCCAATCAAAGTATAGGAAAATATATAATCTATATCATGTCTGTATAGATATACAATAATAATATTAATTGTATTATATACAAAAAATTGGATGTTATACATAATAGATAACATATAATAAAAAATAAATACATGTAAAAAACAAAGCGCCTGTTTTCAATCAAAATATGTGAATATATATAATCTATATCATGTCTGTATATATATTCAAATAATAACAATAACTGTATACGTACAATTAGATACGTATAATTGGATATTATATATAATAGACGATAATGTATAAATGAATGATACGATGAGTACATGCAAAAGGCTAGACGTCAGCAATATTACTGCTACGAGGTCTAACCAAAATGAAATAAGAGATGAACCGAAACATAGAAACATAAAAAATTATAGAATAAGTTGTATATGATGAAATATGAAATACCGAGGGGAGAGAAGAGTAATTATACTGCAATATATAATACCAATTCTGCCACTATATTCATAAGAGGAAGCGGCATGAAATTTTGCAAATTGGAGGATCAATTATAGACGATAAACAAAACATTCTGGAAAACATTCTGATTAGATTTATTGCAGTAAAACAATTCATATCTCTTTTGTTGCCTTTTAATTATTTCCGTAGTCATATATATATGAATATTTTGTATATATTCATATTTATTTAGTTTAACAAAGAATGAGTTAAGCGAGAAGGACGATTGTAATTTAAAAGAAATTTAATGTAAGGAAACTTACAGCGGACGTATTATAAATTTGCACTTTTAATTCTCACGACTATATCACGATCTCGCTCGCGAGATTGATATCTTTTCAAAAACAAGTGCATCTAAGCGATTTTGGTGCTCAGATAGACTTGTTGCTTTTGCTCGATCTAGGATCTTATCTAGAATCTTCTGGTGCATCGTCCTGAAATGAATTGTAACAATTCGTTTCAAGATAATGCATCACAAAATTGTAGACCTTGAATCTGTTTAAAGACACCTACCTAGAGACGTGTTCAGGCTAGAACAGGCAAATAAAGAGAAGCGAGGGACATAATACATCCAAACTCCTATGTATGTCGTAGAGAATAGATTGCTAGAAAATTATAATGAGTGTGAAAAAAACTTTAGTATTTAATTATAATAATTATAAAATGAAAAGAGAATCTATAGCAATACCGAGAGCATGCATTATAATTGGACGCTTTTCGGCGCGTGCCTTTCTCCTAACGACAAACGAAAACCGGATGCAACAAGCTCCCCGGTGTCTTGTTGTCATCGATGACGGCAATTGCGACTCGACATCTATGATATCATCATTGTATAAATGTACATTTTTATGTCCTTCGCAGATCTTAGGCCTGCAAAATAAGAAAACGCAAGCAGGACTGTAAGGAGTACTTACCCTTGTTTCCCGGACACCCGGATCCTCACGACACCGACGCGCCTTTCGAGCTTGTACGAGAATGGGAATTATTTGCATCTTCCAAGTATAAAGGTGATGTGAGGGAAGGGGGCCCGAGACACATTCGTTGACGGTGCATCTTACGCTATTGCTAGAGTGATCAAATGTTGACCAGAGAATCGCAAATTCTAAGCGCCAGGAGTATTAACTTCCGACGGAGATTGTATCGATACTTTTCTTCTCCAATGTACTTCCATATGTATACCTCCTGCTATCCACATCGTAGAGCTCCTGTGAATCAAATACATGGAGATATCGTGTATATTGATTCGTTCTGCGATGTCTTTATGTCACCGACGAGAGCCGTAATCCGATTACGGTCGCTAATTGCACGTCTCCTTATATTTATCGGCGTTTTTTCTTGTCCCCTGTGAATCATTTATCTTCTTCGGCCCGTCGACGCGATAGAGAATTATCTCGATGTAAAAGTACCTGACGAAGACATAAGATGATCGATAGCTCGCATCTCTTCGTATTCTTGACATCGTCGAACATAATTTTTGAGTCTATATTCGCTAAAACTATTTATGAAGTTTCGTCGACGTACGTGCATCCTTCTTCGGCCCGTCGACGCGATAGAAACCTATCTTGATGTAAAAAGTACCTGATGAAGGCGCAAGACGACCGTTAGCTCGCGTCTCTTCGTATTCTCGGTGTCATCAAACATGATTACTATGCTCATATTTTTTCACTAAGTCTATGAAGCTTCATCGACGTGTGCGCATTCATCTTCGGCTCGTTAAAGCGATAAAAAAGTACCTGACGAAGACGCAAGACGACCATTCGATCACGTCTCCTCGTATTTGTGACATCTTTAGTGACGTGATTATCGAACTTATATTCTCTTAACATTTTGATGAAGCTTCGTTGGCGTACGTGTATTTACTATGAATCTAGTCAGAATGGAGATTTAAGGAACGGAGAATGTTATGGAGAATGAATCAAAGTCTAGAGAGAAGAGAACGAGAGAAACGGGTTAGTCCGGCCTACGCTTTAAGAAGAAGAAAAAAAAGGCATTAAAGACGGTCTCGTGCGTTATTTCGAAAGAAAATTATAATTATATCGCATAATTATATTGTTATGTCTAGGACTATAATATACGTGCATTAAATCGGTAAAAAAAAGCAGTGAAGAAGCTCGTAGTAGCGACTCTTCTGTTAGATTTATATCGAGTGTTATCGGATGTCTATTTCGGCGTATCGGTCCTCTCGTTTCCCACAATGATATATGTATATACATGTGTGTATATATACATATATGTATATATGTGTATATATATATATATATGTGTATGTATGTATGTATGTATGTATGTATGTATGTATGTATGTATGTATGTATGTATGTATGTATGTATGTATGTATGTATGTATGTATGTATATATTATCGCGATCATAAGCTCGTGTCGCGTTACCTCGACGATCGCCGAACGGATCTACGAAAGAACACAACAATTGCCGTCCTTAGCACATCGATTCGACAAAATCGACTCCGACGTAACGTCAAAATTCCTTTCGGATCTCAGTACATCTTGTGATAAGCTCTCTCTCGAGAACACCTGAACCGAATTGTTGTCCGTTCGAGCGACGCAGTGATTTTGAAAGCCAAGTGAGGTGGTATTCTAACTTCTCGTCTTCGACGGTCATCGAGGACCGCGAGAACGGGTGCGTTAGTTTATTTGCCTGCTTCCTTCTGTTAAGTTAATCGCTCGCGACGGCATCGCACTCTTCCATTATTTTTTTCTCGCGAGTGTAAGATATGGAGTGTTTTAGTTTAGAAAGTATTTCCAAAGTCGAGTTTTTATTCAGAGATTTTTATCGGAACATTACTTATACGATTAAATCGACGTCCCTCCAATTCCAAATATTTATAACTTTCGTGTTATGATAGGTCAGATTACTTACCGATTTGTACTCCTTTTGTATAGAGCCGGCTTCGTTTAATTGATGGTTGTATTACACGCACGCCGACGTTGTTACAACCGTTAATTAAATGTCAAATTTGTCGTTAAGGTTTTTACATTAAGACGGAATTTATCGTCTAGGTGATGCTTAATTTTTTGTAGTTTCTTTTTTTTATTACAATTAACGCAATTTGTACTTGCGAGGGAGAACTATCGTCGTCGATTCGCCGGGAAGCACACCGTTTGATTTGTTATTTACAGGATAATTTCGACGATAGTGCTCCGTAACTCGATTCCCCGATCTGCGAGTATTTGCCGTGAGATTTTTGTAATGACTAGTCACTCGTTTAATGCACAAAAAAAATGTCCTGTTGTTATGCAGGTCATCGCTATTTTCCTGCATCATCTACCGAGCACCTGCGTCATATTCTATTTAGAACCAAAGCGACAGAGAACTTATATTACGTTTGTAGTAACGAACGTCGTGCCCGAACGAGAGATTAAGGGCAGGTGCAATGCGTAGATTTGATGCCATTGCAATGCAATGGATTTGATTTTAATGTCAGTTGATATAATATTGTTGTATGTACATATAAATGTAATGATTGTATGAGATATATATAT